GTTTTATGACAAGATGGATGCTGTCATTATATTTTAGTATAGTGTTTGAGTTAAGGAGAATAAAAGAATATTTAACATTAATTGTACCAATGCTGTTGTGTACGAAGCACAAATTAATTTAAGTTTTAATTTATGAATTTTTGAGTACATGGTGTACTAGGTTGTAATTGCATAGAAATACGTTTATGGATATAAAGAACTATATTCAATGAGTTACAGTGAAAAGAAGTGCTTGGAAATAGTAATATAAACAGAAATTTCAATTTTTCTATTAACGGAAAATATCAGTTAATGATACAGAAAATATACTGTGAATAAACGGAATTTTCTGTTTTATAGCTGAAGGAAATGTCCGTAAATAGTACAGAGAGTATACTGTAAATCTACAGAATTTTCCGTTTTATCATTTACAGAAAGGTCCGTCAAACCTCCGTAAAAAAACAGAAAATGTACTGGCAGAAAATTACCAGGACATTTTCTGTTTTTCTACGGAATATTTTTTTACAGTGTGGATTTCATGTAATATGTCGGTGCTGAGGTGTGACAAACAACCTTGTCTCTATGTGTGTAGGGTGTACCCCACCTCTCGCCCTATGGTGGCTGGGATAGGCTCCAGCCCCTCCTGCGACGCCGGCAAGGATAAGAGGAAGAGAATGGATGGATGACGGTGATGCAACAACATATATTTATGGTTACTTTAATGTTATCATATTTTCCTCTGTATGGAAACAAGTCTACTGATACAACTACAATAACATCTGCTTGTCAAAGCTGGACCCGTCTCACCAACAGGGAACCACAGCTTAAGATGATTTGACATCAGACTGAGGAATGTCAAATGAAACTTGGATTTCTCTCTCTCACACACACACACACGCACACACGCGCACACACATACATACACACACACGCACACACACACACACGCACACACACACACACACACAGAGCAGCAGCACTGACCTCTGACTTTCAGATTCACTTGTTTCCTCAGCAGGACGTTTCCCTCCCTGCTGTAGACGGTGCAGGTGTAGGGGCCTCTGTCCCAGTCTGTGGGGTGTTTCAGGGTCAGACTGTAGTCTCATTTTTTTTATAGCAGGTGTTCAGTTATCTCTGTTCAGTTATATCTGAGGTCTCGTGTTTTCACCCACTTTTCATTCATCTCTGTTCGGTCTCTGTAACGGTGGTACTGTCCTTCTTGCTGTATAGGGCCGTTCTGATGCACGTGGACCTTCATATTTGAACTGTCCTTCCACTCAACTTTAGGGTTTTTAGGGAGGCGAACTGTGGTTTTGCAGGGCAGCTGGATAGACTCCACCCCTGAATCCACCTCCACCTTGGGGACTGGGAGGACAACACAGCACAAAATGAGCTGAACAGACAGCAGCAGCACTGAGCACATTTTCTTTGACTGGATGAAAATAAAACAAAATGTCTGACTGGTTCCACTTTGCTAAACAGAGACAGTGTTGTCTTTAGCAGCAGTACAGCTGACTGCTTCTTTAAGAATTCAGTGTTACTGTCACATGTCCAGAGTCAAAGCTTTATTTCAAAGAGATGCAAGATGTTCACCACAGGAACGCTAAACTTGTTACCTGAGGGGTGTCCTATGAAGCACATTCAACACATCATATAAAACCAAAAAGCACAATCAGAGATCATCTTCATCAGGGTGGTGACGATGGAGCTGGAACACTTTAAATGTGAGCCATAAAAACATGATACTCTACAAGTGCATTCAGCTCTGACACTGTCACATCATGAAGGAGACGTGGAAATCACTTTGTTACACAAATCAAAGTCAAATCAGTTCTATTGATGGAATATTGTGTGATCAATAGACTGATCAGTTTCTAATCTG